CCTCTCCCTCCTCCCTTCTCCCTCCCCTCTCCTGCCTCCTCCCTCCCTCTTTCTCTCTCTCTCTCTCTCTTTTTGTTTTGTTTTTTTTTTTTCTCTCTCTCTCTCTCTCTCTCTCCCCTCTCTCTCTCCCTCTTTCTCTACCTCTCTTATCTGTCTTTCTCTGTCTCTCTCTGCCTCTAGTCAACCGCCCCCATCTTCGCTCCTTCTCTCCTGGCGTTTTTCCTCTTCCTTCGTCCCTTCCCCTACCTTCCTCCCGCTCTCCCTCGTTCTCCCCCTCTTTTTGCAGGGCCCACACCAATTCCAATGGCGGGCACATGTACGCCCGCCCGTTCAGGTTTGCCCGCCTATCTAAGCCCGCCGCCCCCCGCAAAAAGAAATAATCCCCCCAAAGGGGGTGTGATCGAAGACGAAAAGGACGGGTATCGAAGGTGTGGGGAACTCGTTTTGAGTGACACTGGGGCAAGTAAGAGCGAAGTGTCTTACAGTGATTGTTGTTGTTGTTGTTGTTGTTGCTGTTGCTGTTGCTGTTGCTGTTGCTGCTGCTGCTGCTGCTGCTGCTGTTGTTGTTGTTGTTGTTGTTGTTGTTGAACTCTCATTCTTGAAGAATAATTATTGTTGATCCCCCCCACCGGTGCACATTGATTTTTTTCGATTGAAGTGCCACCACCGGGGCTCGCACCTTGTTTTTTTCTAAAGGAAAGTCTTCCTGCTCAAACTGTGCCCCTGCCCCCCGGGCTACAACAACAACGGCTCCCGCCTGAGACTTCCTCGATTTTTACTCAGGACCCCCGCTCCCGCCTGAGACTTCCGCGCAATTTACTCAGGAAAGGCGCTCCCGTTGAGACTTCCTCGCAATGTAATCAAGACCCCCGCTCCCGCCTGAGACTTCCGTGCAATTTACGTGGGAACGGCGCTCCCGCCTGAGACTTCTTCGAATTTTACTCAGGACCCCCGCTCCTGCCTGACATTTCCGCGCAATTGACTCAGGAACGGCGCTCCCGCCTGAGACTTCCTCGCAATTTAGTGAGGACCCCCGCTCCCGCCTGAGACTTCCGTGCAATTTGCTCAGGAACGGCGCTCCCGCTTGAGACTTCCTCGCAACTTAGTCAGGGCCCCTGCTTCCGCCTGAGATTTCCTCACAATGTACTCAGGACTGCGCTCTCGCGTGCGACGTCCTCACACATTATTCTGGAATTGCGTTTCGGCGCTCAGGAACCACGCACGCGCCAAGGACGCCTTCACAACGTGGTATCTTCCCTCTTCCTTCGTCCTTCCCCCTCCCCTTCCTCCCACTCTCCCTCGTTCTTCCCCTCCTCCTCTTGCAGGGCCCGCGCCAATTCCAATGGCGGGCAGAGAGATGTACGCCCCCGAAGGATTGTCCGCCCGTTCCGGTTTGCCCGTACGTCTAAGCCCGCCGGCCCCAGCAAAGAGAAATAATCCCCCCGAAAGGGGTGTGATCGAAGACGAAGAGGGCGGGTATCGAGGGTGTAGGGTATACGTGTTGAATGACTCGCGGGCAAGTAAGAGCGTACAGCCTTAAAATGGTTGTTGTTGTTGTTGCTGTTGTTGTTGTTGTTGTTGTTGTTGTTGTTGTTGTTGTTGTTGTTGTTGTTGTTGTTGTTTGTGCGTGCATGTATGTGAGGGATTTTTTAGGACCAGGCCCTCGATCAGGACCCTCGCCCACCCCCCAGGGTATTTTGGGCATGGTCTACAGACTTTTCTGCCTGAAGGCCTTGTCAGAAGGCTCGCAAGGCCTCGGGCCCTCTGAGAAGCCCTGCCGCCTTCCAAGAGGACCTCCTCCTTCTCACCTTCCCCCCCATCGCTGGCCGCCGACAGGAGGGGGTCAGGACCCCGTGGGCTGGGGGGGGAAAGAGCTTTTTACGGGGGGCGAGCTTTTTCGTTGGCCCTCGGAGGTTTTCTCACCTCGGCATGTCTTCAGCAGCTGAGCCTCGTCGAGAACTTTCCAGGGGTGCCCTGATCTTTCCGAACGGCCTCCAGAGGCCCGAGTTATGATTCTTTCAGCGCGTCCCCTGGCCCCCCGTTGTCCTCGTACGTGCCTTGAGCAGTGATTTGCGGACCCCCCCTCTTGGACGCCCCCCTCACGGACGTACCCGACAATCGGGTGACGAGATCTGTACATATCTACTACCCCTGGCCAGGCAAGGCAAGGCTGCGCGCAAGAGTGACCCGTCGCCGGAGTGACCTCCCGCGCGGGGGGGCCCACAGGGGTCCCGCCAGCACCGGCTGGCGCTCCTTTGACACTGATTGCTTGGACTCGGCCTCCCATCGCGGCCCCCCCCCTCCACAATTTACCAGCCTGGAACATATCCCTATCCCTATGCTGGGCATCTCCTCATCACGATGCCAGTCTTAGGGATTCCCTTATTTTTTGAGGGTGGATCCCTAAGACTGTCATCGCCTTTTGGCGTGTCAATCTTAGGGATAGGGATAAGTTCGAGGCTGGTAAACAATCCGCGCGCCAGAGGCCGCTTTTTCGCCCACGGCAGGCTCGCGCTGTGCCGCCGCCTCGGCGGCGACCCCGCCGCGGGCACTCCTTAGGAAGAACGCCGCCAGCCCCCCCCCCCAGGAATCAGCCAATACGGCACGATCTGGCGATCGAGAAGCGGTCGATTTCCGGGGAACGAGGACTGACATAAACATAAAAAATTGGAGTTCCGCGCGGATGTCTCGGATCCGTGCTGGGCCCGCCAGGCGGCGCTTCCGGCGGCGCTGCCCCTGGCGCGCTCCGCGCGCCAGGGAGGGGTTCCAGCGCCGATCCGAGAAATCCGCGCGGACCTCCGAACTTTTATGTTTGTGTCATTCTTCGTTCCCCCTAGATTTTCCAAGCTTGCTCGATCCACGCGGCGACATAAAAAACCATCGCCAGGGCCGTCACGACACGAACTCGCCGCGGTGCCGCTCCTGCGTGCAGTCCGAGGGCACTCGGGGCCCCGCTCGAGCATCTGCTGCCCTACCGGTCGACGCCCTGCGCTGGGTTTCACGGGTCGCGGTGCCGCTCGAGCACCTGCTGCCCCGAGGCCTGCTCTGGTGCCCTGCGGGGCCCTCTGGGTGGGCCGCGCTGGATCCCCGCGCCGCCTGCTCCCTGCACTTGTTCGACGAAGAGAGCAGCATAAACATACGCCTCCGGAGCTCCCCGCGGATCTCTCGGATCGGCGCTGGCCCCCCCGGCGGCGCCGCCGGCACCGTCCCTAGCGCGCTCGCGCGCCAGGGAGGGGGGGATTCCAGCGCCGATCCAAGAAATACTCACCAGCCGCGAACGTATCCCTATTCCTAAGGTTGGCACGCTAAGAGGAGATGACAATCTTAGAGAGAGCGTGATCCACCGCCGCTTTACTGTGGAAAATTGCCAACCTTTTCCTCCAGAACCCGGGGGTCGCCCCCCCCCCCCCCCCCCTCCGAAAATCCCCCCCCCCTGCTGGAACCCCTCCCCCCCCCCCCCCTCCCGCTCGAAAACCGGGGGGGGGTCACTACTGGTTCGAACCCCCCCCCCCCCCCCCCTCCGGATCCGGAAAACCGGGGGGGTCACTACCGGTTCGCCCCCCCCCCCCCTACTCACCGCCAGCAAACGACTCCCGGTCCCCACCACCGTCCGCATCACATCCCCCACTGGTGTTCCCAGCACCACTGTCCTCACCACCGCTGTCCCCACTGGTTCCACCACCGCCCCTACTGTCCCCACCAGTGGCCCCACCACTGTCGCACTGTCCCCGCTGTCCCCAGAACTGTTCCCACCACGGTTCCACTCTCCCCACTGTCTCCACGGCCCCAACCATTGCCCGACTATCCCCACTGTCACCACTGTCCCACTGACTCCTCCGCTGTCCCACTGAGCTGTCCCACTGTTCCCACCACTGTCCCTACTGTCCCCACCACTTTCCCCACTGTACCTCTGTCCCATTGTCCCGCCGCCGTCCTCGCCACCGCCTCACCACTGTCCCCACCACCATTGTACCCTCCACTGTCCCACTGTTTCCACCTCATTCCCATTGTCCCCACACCACTGTCCCCACCACCACCGTCACCACCACTGTCCACTGTCCCCCCCTGTTCCCACCATTGTCCCCACCACTGTCCCCACCACTACCGTCCCCACCACTGTCCCACTGTCCCACTGTCCCCACCACTGTCCCGCTATCCCCTCACCACTGTCCCCACCAACACCGTCCCCACCACTGTCCGCACCCCCACTCGGTTTTCGAGGGGGGGGGGGTTCGAACCGGTAGTGACCCCCCCCGGTTTTCCGGATGAGGGGGGGGGGGGGGAGGGGTTCGAACCGGTAGTGACCCCCCCCCCCCATGATGAGCAGGGGGGGGGGGGGGGGAGGGGTTCGAACCGGCAGTGACCCCCCCTGGTTTTCCGGAGGGGGGGGGGGGGGGGGGGAGGGGTTCGAACCGGTAGTGACCCCCCCCGGTTTTCCGCCAGCAGCGGTAGAACACGCTCTTTCCAATCTTAGGATACACCTTCAGAAACTGAGGAAATCCCTAAGATCGCCATCGTGATGAGGCGATGCCCAACATAGGGATAGGGATATGTTCCAGGCTGATAAAATACGCGCGGGCCTCCCAAAGTCTGGGTTTATGCGTCTTTGGCTTTTCTATTTGTCCCGGTCTGGGCTGGTGGCCTGGAGGCCTCCCTCTGAGAGCCTCTGGAAGCCTCCGAAGGCCCCAGGACGCGCCCGCTGGCCCCCCTTCGTCAGGAGGGGAAAACACACACACAGACACAATTAATCGTCGATTCCAGGGAAAATATTGGAAATCATGGGAAGTGGGGGGGGAAGACAAGAACCAAGAAAAAACATGGAAATATATGGGGGATCCTGCTATTTGTGTGCATTTATTTGTGTGTCCCAGGGCCCCTTTACTCCTGGGGCCCGAGGGCCTCCGGAGCCGCCTGGGACTTCGGGGGGCGCCGGGGGGACGCCCACGAGGGCTCCCGAGGGCTGTCTCGGGGGCTCGCGCGCGCGCCCGGCCCGCGGGCAGGCCCAGCCAGAAGTGTACGAGGACTGAGCGCCCGCCTCCGCGGGCGGCTGCGGCGGGCCCGTCCCCGCGGCCCCCTTGTGCTGCGGACCCGAGTGCGGCATCGCCCGACCCGTCCCCGCCCCCGCCGGGGCCGTGGCATCTCGGCCCCGCCGGGCCGCCCCCCTCGGCGGGGACAGGCGCGCACATGCTCGCCCGGGCGGGTCGGGCGACCTGCGGGGCCGAGGCGCCGGTGTGTGCGGGGGCCGGTCCAGCGATGCGCGCTAGGTTTGAGTCGGGCATGTCCCTCTGCTGGAGGAGTATGCAAAACTGGTCAAAAGGTAGCCTGGGTACGATTTTTCCAGTGTTTGCGAATCTTTCCGAGTATATTTTCACAGTGTTTTATTTTTCAGCCAAAATCCGTCTGTATGGGGACATGTCCGACCTAACGCAAGGCGTCAAAGATTGCTCGTGAGGGCGCCCAGACGGCCCCAGGGGGCTTCCTGCGCGGCGCTGCACCTGCGCGGAGCGCAGGGCCTCTTCGAGCGCGCGGCTGCCCCAGGGCATGCGGCGGGGACTCGCCCTGCAAGATGAGGATGAGGGCGAGGAGGAGGAAGAGGAAGGGGGGGAGTAGGGGAACGAAGAATGACATAAACATAAGAGTTCTGAGGTCCGCGCGGATTTCTCGGATCGGCGCTGGACCTTTGTTCCCCTGGGGAGGGTGGCAGGTGTGCACGAAAGATGATGGCCCCGGGCACGCGGGTCTGGAGCCCCCGCTGGCGGGCCCGTCGTGGGGGGCCATCCTGGCCGTGCTGGAGGGCTTGGCGGGCCTCCTGGCAGGCCACACAAGGCCATACGGGGCCATCTTGGCGGCCATCTTGGAGCCATCTTGGAGGCCATCGTGGAGCAATCTTGGAGAGCATCCTGGAGCCATCTTGGAGCCGTCCTGGAGCCATACAGGGCCATCTAGGAGCCATCTTGGCACCATCCTGGAGGCCAGCCTGGGCGGCTTGGAGGCGGAATCTCCAGGCTTTGTGCGCGCGTTGCAGACATGCTTTTGTTGGCAGCGTGCGCCATCTTTCAGAAGGGTAGTTCCAGGGACCTCCCTTCCTCTGCGAAGGAGAGAAAAGAGGAGGACGAGGAGGGGGTGAGGGGGAGGAGTAACCCAGCACCTCGGGTGGCGATTGACGGGAAGCCGTAACGCGTGGCAACTCGTGTTCGGAGGTTTGGGAAAGCCGCAACATGTGACGTGCTCTTCCGCGTTGTGTCGGTGTTGGATCATGACGATGACTACGACCATGACGACGACGCCGATGCTGATGATGATACTGATGCTGATGATGCTGATGATGATGCTCATTATGATGATGAGGCTGTTGATACTGAGGATGATGACGACGATGATGAGGAGGAAGAGGAGGATAATGATGCGGATAACTATGATGATGCTAACATTGATGCTGCTGCTGATGATGATTATGCACATGATGCTGTTGATGATCAAGAGGATGATGCTGATAATGGTGATGATGATGCTGATGCTGATGCTGCTGCTGATTATGATGACGATTATGCTGATGATGATGAGGATGAGGATGACGATGACGATGATGATGGTGATGCTGATTATGATGATGATGATGATGATGATGATGATGCTGATGATGATGATGATGATGATGATGATGATGATAATTTTGCTGCTGCTGATGATGCTGATGAGGATGAGGATGAGGATGAGGATGATGATGCTGATGGTGTTGAAGATGTTGTTGATGATGATTATGATGATGTTGATGGTGCTGATGATGATCATGATGATGCTGCTGATGACGATGATGATGATGACGATGATGATGATGATGATGATGATGCTGATACGACTGATGATGCTGATGTTGATGATGATGAGCATGATTATGCTGATGATGTTGAAGATGCTGTTGACGATAAGAATGCTATGATACTGGTACTGATGATGATGCAACTTATGTTGATGGTGCTGATGATGCTGTTGATGCTGATGCTGATGATGCTGATGCTGATGCTGATGATGCTGATGATGACGAGGTGATGCTGATTATGATGATGATGATGATGCTGCTGGTGATGATGCTGCTGATGCTGATGATGATGCTGTTGCTGATGCTGATGCTGATGCTGATGCTGATGAAGATGAGGAGCATGTTGCAGATACGTTGATGAGGAGGTGGAGGTTGAGGGAGAGGAGAAGGCAGCGGAGGAGGAGGAGAAGGAGGGGGAACAAGATGATAATGTTGATGATTCTGGTATTGCTGATGATGATGCTGATGATGATGATGCTGCTGATGATGATGATGATGATGATGACGATGTAACTGATGCTGATGCTGCTGCTGATGATGATGATGCTGATGCTGATGATGATAATGCTGCTGCTGCTGATGATGATGCTGACGACGATGATGATGACGTTGTTGCTGATGATGTTGATGATGCTGATGCTGACGGCGATGTTGATGAGGATGATGCCGCTGCTGATGATGATGTCGATGCCGACGACGACGATGATGATGCTGCCGATGATGATGATGCTGCTGCTGATGGTGATTCTGCTGATGATGCTGCTGTTGCTGATGATGCTGCTGATGACCATGGTGATGTTGATGCGGACGATCATGGGACGATGATGATGCTGATGAAGATTATTATTATGATGATGCTGATGGTGCTTGAGGCCGTCGATGGTGATGCTGATGATGATGATGCTGATGATGATAAGGATGATGCTGATGATGCTGTTTATGCTGCGGCTGATGATGGTGATGCTGATGCTGCTGATGGTGATGCTGATGACAATCCTGATGATGATGTTGATGATATGCTGCTGATGATGCCGCTGATGCCGATGCTGATGATGAGTATGCTGATGCTGATGCTGATGCTGCTGCTGATGATGCTGATGCTGCTGATGATGCTGATGCTGCTGATGATGATGATGCTGATGCTGCTGATGTTGATAAAGACGCTGCTGATGCTGATGCTGATGCAGATGAGAAGGATGTTGACGATACGATGACGAGGAGATGGAGGTGGAGAATGAGGAGGAGGAGATGGCGGAGGAGGAGGAAGCGGAGGAGGAGGAGGACGAGGAGGAGGATGCGGAGGCGGAGGTGGAGGAGGAGGAGGGAGGGAGGGAGGGAGGGGAGGGGAGGGAGAGAGGGAGCGAGGAGGAGAAGGAGGAGGAGGAGGAGAAGGTGGCGAAGGAGAAGGATGAGGAGGAGGATAAGGAGGGCTGACGATGATGATGATGATGATGATGATGATGATGATGATGATGATGATGATGCCGATGCTGATGTTGATGTTGATGCTGCTGCTGCTGATGATGATGATGATGACGATGACGATGATGCTGATGCTGATGCTGATGCTGATGCTGATGATGATGATGATGCTGATGCTGATGATGCTGCTGATGATGATGATGATGATGCTGATGATGATGATGATGATGCTGGTGATGGTGGTGGTGATGATGATGATGATGATGGTGGTGGTGGTGGTGGTGGTGATGATGAGGATGATGATGATGATGATGCTGATGATGATGATGATGATGCTGATGATGATGATGATGCTGATGATGATGATGATGATGATGATGAGGATGAGGAGGATGATGATGATGATGATGATGATGATGATGATGATGATGATGATGATGAGGAGGAGGAGGAGGAGGAGGAGGAGGAGGAGGAGGAGAATGAGGACGACCGCCACATGTGACACCACTTCGTGTCCACTGGAGCTCATTTGGGACGCCTTGTGGCTGTCTAGAGCTCCGCTGGCGCAGGCTTGGTGGTCGTTAAGGCCACTTTGAACCGTTTTGAGACTTTCGTGAGTCTTGGGCTGTCGAGGGCCCAGGTTCCTCCTGAGGCTCTCCTGGGCCAGCTTTGGTCCCCTTTGGGGCTGTCCGTCTAGGGGCCCTCTTGGGCTCTCTTGAGGCCGTCTTGGGGGATGATTGGGTCATTTCGGGGCCCTCTTTGACCGTTTTGGGGCCATCACAGAGGCCCCTAGGGCCGTCTGGAGCTGAAGGACGCCTGGAAAGGTGAAGACGCCCACCTCTTTCAAAAACCACAGGGATACCTAGGATCTCGGCTCATTCGGGCCTTACTGGGGGACCTCTTGTGGCTCTTTTGTGCCGTCTTGGGGGCCTCTTAGGTCGTGCTGAGGCCATCTTTGGCCACCTTGGGGTTATTTTTGGCCGTCCTGAAGGCATCTTGGTCCATCTTGGCGGCCGCCTTATTGCCTGCCTCGGCCATCTTGGAAGCTCAGGAGCTCGGACCCATAGTTTTTCCAAGGGATCGTGGCTTCGGGAGCGCGGGTTTTTTTTGTTGTTGTTTAAAAACAAGGGATCGTGTCCTCGGGAGCGCGGATCCATTGATTCCTCCGAGGGAAAAGGGGGGTGGGGGCGGGGCGATGCATGCGAGGGAGTGTGGTGAGAGGTAGATTGCAGAAACCCTGCCAGGTATCCAACCCTAGGCATGACGGGAAGCGCCTGAAGCGAGGACCGTTGGTTCGAGGGTCGTAAGTTTGGCCGTTTCGCTGCAGACACCCTTCACCAGCTCTGGAGGGGTCTCTGAACCAACATCGTCTTGGAATCGCTCCTTGAGGGTTTCAACGTCGCTCCAAGACTTCCCAACGGTCCCCTGAGAACCCAGTCGGCGTCACCCCAACATACAAATACTATGTGTGCGTCGCCCCCCCCCCCCCACCCCTGCAGGGGCGACGCGCGCGCCAAGAACTCTTCTAGTATATGCTCAGTTGCGGGGCGCTTTCTTGCACACCGCTGGGGAAACGATGTACTACAATGTTGTTATACTCTATGATCTGGTCGGACGCACGCCTCCAACGTCAGCACACAGTGCTAGCATGTCCTTCTGTGTCCCAAGAAGAGGGCCCAAGAGCGCCCCAAGGGGGCCCCAAGAGGATTTCAAAAAGCGCCCCAGGACCAAGACGGCCCAAGAGAGCCTCAAGATAACCCAAGGAGGCGCCAAGACGGCTCAAGAGAACGCCCAAAGTTCACTAACATGCTCCAAAGAGGCCCAGACGTCCCCAGAGGGTCTCCCAAGAAGCACGCAAGAGGCACTAAGAGGCTGCATAGAGGCTCGAAGATGGCCTCAGACGTCCATGGTAGTCCCCATCGTAGCCCCCGACACGCACCAAAGGCCTTCGCTTTTTTCAGGTCCTTATCCTCGTGTTTCTCGTCCTTTTTCTCTTCGTCGTCCTCCTCCTTGCCATCCTCCTTACCGTCCTCCTCGTTCTCCTCCAAGCTGTGCCTTCACTTCGTCATTCTCCCGGTCGTCCTCCCCGTCGTCCTGTGCCTCTCCCGCCTTGTCCTGCTCGTCCTTCTCATCGTCGCCCTCCTCCTCGAGGGCCTCGTCCTCCCCCTCCTCCCCGTCCTCGTCCTCCTCGCTCCCCCCTCCTATCCACGCTGCCGTCCTCGTTTTCCACGCTGCCGTCCTCCTGCCCCCCCCCGTTGGTCTCGTCGCCCTCATCTTCCTGGCCCTGTCGCCAGTCTTCACAAGAGACCGCGTGCCGTCTTCACAAGGCCCACCGGGGC